CTCACGTGTCGGGCTGATCCGGGATCATCACATTTTACATTCTCCGATTGGCTAATTTCCCTTTTTGGATTTGTATCGCTCGCACAAATAAGTACACGCCAATGGGGGGGCTATTGTTAATAAATTTTGGAGGTGGTACGGAAAGTTTGCCTGGAATCAGAAATTCGGGGCAAATTTGCCCCAAAAACGGACTAAGGGATAGAAAGAGCTGACTATACAATAAATAACTAACTTTAAACAGTCATTGTTTGAGTGTAATTTTGTATGGTGTTGTATGCGATTGTATATATATATTTTTTCTTATGTATATTAATTTCATGATATTGATATTAAATTTTTATTTCAAGTTATTTTTTCGCTTTATTTCTATTAACAGTTAGATAATAAAATTTTATTCTATGAAAATTTTAGTTAAAAGTAAATTTTACATTATTTAGTTTTTTATAATAAATATACCTGCAATATAAATACATTCATTTGAATCTAAGTTTTTTTTTCTTATAAAAATAAAGAGAATATTATTCGTAATGAAGAATAGTCATAGCCTAACCATAAATAAAAATAAAACTATGTCTTAGATCGTATTATATTCCTATTTTTATGATTTTCTATAATAAAATAGAAAATTTTTGATAAAACATTAATTGCAAGCATTACTACACTTATAATAAGTGTTAAAAGTGGAAGAATATTGTAGGTAAAAACTCTTTCCCGATATATAATCTATTAATATCATAAAATATTATAAAATAATAAGGATTAAAATTATAATTATAAATATAAACATTATGAAAAGAACGTACCTGAATAATTAAATGTGGTATATCTTCGATGAATAAATTCAATGTAGAACTATAGTTGATCAAATTTATTGCATGCACTGAAAGTGGAGCTAAGAATATATTAAATCCACCAAACTTTGAATTAAATAAATTCAAAGCTTCAATATCAGCACCAGATAAAATTGTGAGTATTGCCAGGACTTTTGTATTTTCAGTAAACCAATCACAAAAATGTAAATTATGATGAGTTTCTCTTGTAACAATTAAAAGTGTCAAATTTAAGTTTATAGTGATTTGTAAAATAAGGAAAAAGATACTAATGATAGAAATAATAATAGTTAATAAATATTTCGAAGAGAGTAATATCTAAAGAAACAAATTGATGTACATACCTGGAAATAAATATGTCGTTAAATTGATGACCATCATTTAAGATAAATAAAATGTTCAAGATAAAATCCAATATAATTAATATTACTTTAAAGACAGCTAATGCATTTCCCTGTAAATAAATATAATTATATAATATAATTATCTGTTATATTGATTATTTTTGAATAGCAAAATTAAGTCTACCTCGGGATGTTTTATTCTTGACCAGAGATAAATGGCTGCGAATATTAGACAGGCGACACCCATCCCCAATAGGTAAAATTTCATTTCATTCCAGAGATTTGCTGCATACAATTAAATTGTTAAACTTGTTATGCAGTATAAAATATTAATGCAACATTACGCATAATAGATGTATAAACATACGAGCTTGTTGAAAGCCATAGCCTGAATCTAAAAATATTGAAAGATTTTGTTTTGCAAGAGAGCTTGCGTCTTTATTATTTATTATAGTGTTTAGATCTGTAATAATGCTTTTCACGTCAGGCACCATTGTTGACTCTGCTTTATTTATCATGAATTCTACTAAAAGCTGGTTGTGAGAAATAGGATCAGGGGTGGTACGATTGGTTGGAACTAAGAGATTTATATTGCTTATTGGAATGCATTCAGCCAATTGCTTTTGTAACATTTCAAAAAAACCGTTTTTTGATGTTAGACTATTGTAATATACAGTTCCATCTTCGGTCAAACGCAATGTTCCAGTGGTGGATTCTGAAAAAGAAAATAATAAAATATGTTGAATCATAAAGCTGTGATTTTAAAAGTTGAAATGGATTTCAGATAGGCCTTTTAATCTAACGCTAGACCTAGCCTAGCTTACCAATTAAGATTTATTAGTGGTGCCATCAAAATTCTAGATCGGAATTCATCGGCGTAAGGCTAAATAATATCAACAAAATGCACTATAATAGTGTTCTATTAATTTATTAATAAAATCTTAAGTGATCTTCAATTCGACCAGGAATTTTGATGGCATCACTAAATCTTATGAATAATTTATTATAGATAATTACCAATAGGCTGATATGAAACACCTATTAATAAAAATGGACAATTTAAAATATTAGAGAAAATTTATATTGTAAATATAATAGAATTCAGATTATACCTATTTGTGATGTCGAAACCATCCAAATATCCTTTTTTATTCCGGCAAGTGCCTCGTTATTTGAAGCAGATTTTACAAAATTGTTGTCAGCAATTATCATATATGTTTGGTTTTCACGGTTAAAAGTGCTTGGAAAAATTGTACATGAAAGCATCATTCCACTAATAGTCGAACTTCCACTAGTAGTTGAATTACCATTAACGTTAACAGTCGAGCAGTATTTTGAATTTGTGGGAAATGTTTGACGTAAGTTATCAGATTGATAAATTGATATATTACCAGTTGATCTGATAACTTGAATAGAAAATGTAATATTGAGAGTAAAGTATGATGATATTTGTAATGGAACAAATACTGTGGAGTTTAAAGTATTTCTAGCCGGTTCAGCAGATATAATATTTGGATTTTCGTAATTAGCTATATTTAAAAACCGATATCAAATAAATAATTAAAATAAAATAAAAATAAAAAGAGCAATGGATTGAAATTGATTTCTAAAAATTTACCATCATAACTAATTTTTGTAATGTTTTTTATTATTAAACTCCAATTTGGCGAATTTTTAGTTGAATTAAAGAAGAACCATGCAGTATTATTAGGCATAACCCCAAACTTTATGAAGTCCAGTGCAGGATCTATGACCATCGTTTGGTTTAAAGGTAAAGTTTTATCATAAAATCCAGTTGAATTTACAACATCATAAAGAAATACATGACCAGGATTTTGAGGATCTCCAGCAAAAATGCTTTCATCATTGTCTATTGCCAGAAATTCACCAAATGGAAGAGATGTTATAGTATATAATGAATAAGGAGGTACAATTGTGATACTCGCACTTTTATCAATTTCATAGTATACAAAAGATCTTGACTGAAATACTGTTCCCAATGATGAAAAAGGAATTAACCATAGATCAATTATACCGCTGATATTAGTGGTTGTATTAGAGGGAGGAGAATATTTCAATCCAATAATACAAAGGTTGCTTGTAGAGTTATTAGAAATGTAACCAGATCGACAGTCGAAAGTTGTTAGGTTGACATTATTTTGCAAAGAATCATAAATTTGAATAGGATCATTGACAATTTTGGTGTCCTCATTGTAAAAACAAATGCTAGTGGTAAAATATGATTGATCACTGATATAAACAAGATCCCTGTGGACTGAATTCAAGTATGATGAATATACAATAGCATGACTGCCATCAATATTGTTGAATAAAATTACGTCATTTATTGAGTAATTTGCACGTGCACTAATCGTACCGCTGTCAATTTGCAAGTTTCTATCTATATTATTTTGACTGTGAATGACTTGAATAAGTACATTACAAATAAGTATTTGATAATTTTCTGAAAATAATTTAATCACTTACGGAAAGCGAAATTTAATCCATCTGATTGTATTATTAGTATAAGAAACTCCTAAAAATCCAACAAGTGGTATATTGTCTGTCGTGATTGTTGTGACGCCACCGAGCTGAACGTTGCTTTTTTTTTAATTAAATAAAAAATCAGTTAAAATTATCATAATTACTTTTTATAAAGTAAAAGATCTAAAAAATTTCAAGCAAAACTCACTCGATTTTAACATTTCCATTTAAATCTATGATCGTTCCATTTTCGCAAGGCGAACCAAGAGTACAAAGCATTATCATCATCAAATCATCAGATAAAGGGAAAATTTGAGTTGGAGCATTGTTTGTCAACTTTCTAAAATTACTGATCGTATTTATTGTTCCATTACGAAGGACAATCTGAAATCCTGGATCATTTGCTGTCAGAATTATGAGTTTCCCGTCAGAAAATTGTTTAATATCATAAATTTGACTATTGCCTAATTTGTTGTACGATAAAAAAGGATCATCAAGTCCGGAAATTGCAAAAATTCCAGGTGATAAAATTAGGGCGAATATAATAGTGCTTATAAACATTTTTAAGATTATGTTATTCTTGAAAATATTTAACAGAAAGATTTCTTATTCCTTGGCATCAAAAATTTAAGCGTTAATTTCAATAAGATTTTCTCTATACATTTCCATATTTACCATTTGAAACAATGTAAACAGTGTGTAATTACTTTGTTCCAAGTTAAAAAACATATAGTGAATGCCGGACATCCAAAGTACCATTCTTGATGCATAATTATTACGATCAAAGAACAAAAGTAAAATGAGAAAATCCTATTACAGTAAGATCTCTCTAAATGCAATGCGTCGGGACAATAGTAAAAATTGGATTAAAATGCATTTAGAGAGGTAATGCATTTAAGGAGGTAAAAATCTATAAGTATTATATTGGTTGGGCCCAAAAAAAGACGTGCATTTAGGGAGGTTTTCCATAGATATGCATTTAGGGAGGTTACATTTAGGAAGGAATTTAGATAAATCAAAAACGATGTTTTGGATGCCCGGCATTTATTATATGTTGTTCTGCTTTGTTCTTGTAATTTTGTACAATCGGAAGAATTGTTTGATTGCATGGCCATTTATTTATGTGTAAGAAGGTACATCAATACGTTAATCTCCTGAGTTTCAGATAGGCAAGTCTATAATCAGTTTAGTTTCTAGATCTAATTTTATTAAAGCCATGATTTTTTTCTGAATTTGGATAATTAATTTTGAACCCGGACCGATTTAAATGTGACGTAATACCTGAATACCCATTTTTGGAGATCGTCTAAAGTCAGTTAGTAATTTATATTGAGCACGTGATTTTTAATTTAAAAAATTTGTAAAACTATATTACCTGGCTTTAGACGACCTTCCCGTTTGGTAATTGTGTAACACACAGCTCTACAATTAATTAGAAATTTTGCCAGCTACGTTTATATATCATAACTGAAAATTACAGTATGCTCCTCATAGGCAGACATTCGTATGATTGGCAGTTTTAATCAATTTAATTTTACATTATTTATACAGTTTAAAGTACTTTTTAAAAAAATTCAAACTACTACGAATAAATAAAAAAGAAGTATATAGAAGTTTTATTAGGGTTGTAGGACTCCACTATTAAAAATAATCAAAATTCTTTTTTGTTTTAGAGAAGTTAGGGGACACCTAAAGATCACTGAACCCAGTGATCGACGATCACATGATAAACATATCATGACGTCATTTGTTTACCAGAACTAAACCCCTACCCTAACCCTAAACTAACCCTAGCCTAGGCCGAGTGATTATCATGTGATACTGTGATGATCACTGGGTTCAGTGTTCTTTAATCTTCCCGAAGTTAGCATAATAGCGACTTTTTAAAATTAGGTTATCACCGTGCTAACTTCTCTAAAGCAAAAAAGAATTTTGATTATTTTTAATAGTGGAGTCCTACAACGTTAATAAAACTTTCTATATCCTTCTTTTTTGTTTATTCTTCGTAGGTTTCTTTTTTTCAAAAAGTATTTTAAACTGTATAAATAATGTAAAATTAAATTGATTTAAACTGCCAATCATACGAATGTCTGCCTATGAGTATGCTCCTGAAATTAGATCTTTCATGCATGTAATTATAGCCAGATGCTATTTAAGATATCTAAAGCACTGTTCCTAAGTGCAACATTTACATCGTTAACTTAAATATCATGTGTTAAATATATTAATTAAAATGTAGTTTTGGTTGCTTTATCTGCCTGTCTTTTTTTTTTTTTGAGCTTATATGATTCTTTGTATGATAAATATTCTGAATTATCCGACATGTCTTATGTGAACACCGAACGATTTTTGTGTAAGTTATTCGGCCACCCCCTAATACAAATTCACAAATTTTCATCACCTCTTACAGAGGTGATGAAAATATGTGTATTTGTATTAGGGGGTGGACGAATAACTTACACAAAAATCGTTCGGTGTTCACATAAGACATGTCGGATAACTTAGTTATCAGTCGAGTTCTAGTGATTGATGCCTGATTTTTCATAGTAAATGTCCTAGTGAATAATCAGTTATCAATCAAAACACGACGGATAACTAGTAATTTTTGTATTTCTTAATTATTTAAGTAATCAAAATTTGTTGATTAATCATAAACAAACAACATGATAAAATGTTCGGTTATCAAATATCTTTGGTATATATTAATTGTATGACATATCCTAGGAATAATACAAATGATCAGCAGTTAATCTTCTATCTATCTTCTATCTTTTATATTATTATTATTATTTTTTTATTATTTAATTTTGGGTTCGTGCGCTTTAACGTTTTTAATTGTTCGTATTCAGAAAATGTGATCGAGTGTGGGAATTTTGTGTTTGTGCACTTTACCGTTTTTGATTGGCAATATCAAAAAACATGATCAGAATGTGGGAATACGATCAATTTTGACGATGACTATTCTAACGTTATCAATTTATATATGGGGTCTTTGCCTTTAAAATGACGTTACGGTACATGATACCATAAGGTCATTTTCAAGGCAAAGACCCTTCTGGACAAAATTACTTATTTTAGCTACTTACTTATTACAGAATTGAGACATTCTAAATTAAAGTTAGCGTGATTATGACATTCTGAATTAGTTATTTCCTAATTACCTATGCTGATAAACGTTTTTGATTAGTTACCTGCGCACTATAAAATTCTTTGATCATTTAAATCTATAATAGGGTAGTCTCAAAATCTGTAACTATTGCGCCATTTTTATGATCGTCTGCATGATTGTCAAATCTGGAGGTTTTTAAATTAATTACCGTTATGTATTGAAAATCACGTGAAACATATTAATTACCACCTGGCTTTAAACGATCTTCAAATTGCGACATTCCGATTGTATGATTATCATATCTGTAATTATTATACAATATTCCTAATTAAAATGTCGTAGAAGTATCATCATGAATTCGTAATTAATCCGTGATTAATAATCGATATGTGAAAATTGAGACATACCAGTATGACATCTTAATTATGATATGTATATTTTCCTACATGATAATATAGTAACTCTGTTGTCATCTATTTATGATTTTGAGCAAAATTTTAATTTCTAAAATAAATTTCATTTTCACTTTATCGATGTTCAATAAAACCAACTAGAACTAAATATTATGTGTTGCTGAATAATTAGTAAGTCTGTAACAAGCTTTATTTTTTACATAATTTATAATAATATTATTCTACTACCTGTAACTACCAGGATAGCAAATAAGTTCTGTAACTGAATTTTTTAGAAATCACAATAATTCTGGTATAAAGTAACTCAACTTTAAACACATACTTTGGTTAGTTATGATAGAGATCACAATAATTCCAGTGCAAACTAATACATACTATGGTCACTGAAATAGTAAATAAGTTCTGTAACAAAATTTTGTATAATAGAAACTATGATAATTCTAGTGTAAACTAAGCATACTGTGTGATCAATGAAATGACAAATAAGTTTTGTAAGAAAATTTTGTTAGAAATTAAGGTAATTTTAAAGCAAATCAACTCAATCTTAGCAACTACTATAGTCACCAGTAGGGTTGCATCAGTCCTTAAACTGTCCCAATTAGTCCCAAGCAAATTATTAAATTTTGAGATAATTTTTTTGTTAAGAGTTATTAATTAAAGTTGTTCAGAACTAAATTTAAAGTATACTTTCTTATTAGTAAAAGGTGGCATACCCTCTCTAAAACTCAAAATTCTAGAGAGTGATTTAAAATTTTGTATTAGTCTGAATTGATACAAAATTTTAAATTATTTTTAGATTTTTGAGTTTTAGAAGAGTATGTACCTTTTTTTAATAAGAAAGTATACTTTAAATTTAGTTCTGAACAACTTTAATTAATAACTCTTGACAAGAAAATCATCTCAAAATTTAATAATTTGTTTGAGATCAATTAGGACCGTTTAAGGACCAATGCAACTCTAGTCACCAGAATAGTAAGTTTTATAACAGAATTTTTATAGTAATTTATAATAAAAATAATATAATTTCAATAATAAACTAACATAATATTAACTACTTTTCCAAATTGTGGTTATCAAATAGTGAATAAGTTCTGTAATAAATTTTTTTATAGAAGAAATTAATACAAAATTTAATCTTAATTGTGTATTGTGGTTACCTGAATAGCAAGTAAGTTCTTTAATAGAATTTTTATAGTAGAAATTACAATAATTTTAATATAAACTATCTCAATATTAATTATATTGAAATATACATGGAGGTCCAAGATAATAATAGTCAGACCCAATGCACAGGGCAGACTTTGGATACCTGCATAGCTGTGAGAGCTGAGTCTAAAACAGTGAGCGACCTTGTAAAAGACAAAAACCCCTTCTCAGATATCAATACATCACATTTTTCTGAGGAAACTTGTTATAATAAATTCCTTAAAAAACACAATCTCACATTACTTAACTCAAATCAAACTCTTAAATCCTTTTTATATCATCTTCTAAAACAATCCTTCTACAAACCCTACAAAATATCTCTCAATATATATACACATGAAACACATATTTATCTTGATATTAATGATCAACTCTTATTGAATTATAGAATTATACTACCACACCAATATCCAGCATACTATAACTCTTTTATCAAATCAATAACTCCTTTTAATTCTTTTTCTACCTCATCTACCTTTTATATTAATTCTCAAACACAATCAAATACTTCTTCTTCTAACAACAATGATATACCAACTTCTCAAACTATCAAAA